CATCGGCGGTGACTCGCGGCTTTTGCGAGGTTCTGGTCTGTAAGAGTGTTGTGTACATGCCTTGAATGGAGCACGAGGTGGCTGTAAGAAACTTGGAGGGAAAAAGAATTGATGGGAGTGAATTTTAAAAGTTTGGCGAGTGGGTGTTGGGACCTGCAGCGTGGTGAGTGGCTGTTGGGACCTGCATCGTGGTGAGTGGATGCTGTGACTTGGTGGGCGACTTCCTCCAACTGCCCAGTAGCGGTGTCCTTCACGAGCCTCTGCCACAGACCGACTCGGTACACGTGGGTACACGAGCCCCAACTTAGTTCCACATGCTCCTCCCTGCACGCCATCTCTTCACCCAGCCCACCGGCCCTCAACTCCCTCGATCGAGCATGCGCTATTGTGGGCAAATGGACACGCAGGAGACGCGGACAGAGGTTTGCCAGCGAATGATTGCGCTGCTACAGAATGCAGTGCATTCGCGACTGATGCATTGTGGAAGTTGTAGGCACATGTATGGAGTAATTGGGCGTAGCTTTGCCCATCTAAGGAATACTGCAAATGGAATTGCGTTTTTAACGATCGATTAAGCGAGAATCGAACGATACAAAGCTTGATCCATGCTCGGAACACGGGCACGCTTGCAGCGCGGATAACGGAGACGAACGAGGCGCTTCCAGGGACACGGGAGACTGGTAGATGCGATGAGGTGAACAACACTGCCGAGTGGGGTTTTGTCGCCTCGCCTATCTCAATGCAACGGGATCTTAATGCGCAGAAAGCGTTGGGAACGTAAATTTAAAGCCTAAACTTAAACTCCTTTATCTTATACTCTTTGGTTCTTTCGGTAAAATCACATAGGTATAAATTAAATCACGTTTGGGGCGCAACAAGTGTCCGTCACCAGGTGGGACGGCAAGAAACAATTCCTGAAGTGGGCAAAAGGGGCTGCTGCAACAAGAGGCCATATACTATATCTCCTTTATCAGTGGCAAAATATAGTAATAGGTTTTTACCCTTTTAACTGGTACAACATCTGACACCTTTATACAAGGCATCATGTTTGCAATAGCCTCAACACAAGAAGTCAAAATGCAAACAAAAAGAACTGATGATAATGATATGCACTGTCCTTGAAGTTGATTGGTCCACACCCGAGACAGCTTTCTAGTCTCCATTGGTGTTGGACCAGATGACGCCAAAAGGCGTACAACTCAAAGACAGTGCACTATCAAGAGTATTGAGAGCTCGGGGTAAGCATTTACACTATGAGATCTCCTTTACCAGTGGCAAAATATAGTAATTGTTTGCATTTTGACTTCTTGTGTTGAGGTTATTGCAAACATGATGCCTTGTATAAAGGTGTCAGATTTTGTACCAGTTAAAAGGGTAAACCGGACCCTGCGGGGTGGGCTGGTAGAAACGAATAACCAAAGAATATAAACAATGTATTATTACACTTGTTTAGCCAGGAAAGCCTCACTGAGTCTAAAAGGTTTTTGTAGGGTCCTGCCAAGTGTTTGCAGTAGGGGGCAATGTTGCTACACCTAATCGGACGATACGAAGGGAGAGTTTGAGGCCTAGTTCTAGGCTTTAGGCCTAGCTGTAGGCTTTAGGCCGCTGTGAGTTAATTTTTAATTTAAATGTTTTAATTATTAATGTAAAAGCTTTAAATTTAAATGTTTCTATTTAAAAACATAAGGGAATGTAACATTGTTAAACATTAACTCCCTTTCACACGCGGGGGTACGATAAGAAGGGAGAGTTTGAGGCCTAGTTCTAGGCTTTAGGCCTAGCTGTAGGCTTGAGGCCGCTGTGAGTTAATTTTTAATTTAAATGTTTTAATTAAAAGCTATCTCAGGGAATTATAAGGGAATGTTACACTTGTTTAGCCAGGAAAGCGTCACTGAGTCTAAAGGTTTTTTAATTAAAAAGCTATCTCAGGGAATTATAAGGGAATGTGTACACTTGTTTAGCCAGGAAAGCGTCACTGAGTCTAAAGGTTTTTGTAGGGTCCTGCCAAGTGTTTGCAGTAGGGGGCGATGTTGCTACACGGACGGACGGACGATATAATCTATTGTAGGCTGGTTCACTTCGTTCCTACCAGTAAAACCTATTACTACAAGAGGCCATATAGGCAAGAGAAGGGGGGGAGGAGCCAGGGAGGGTGGATGCGACAAGTAAGACTCAAGCACGGCAGAAAATGTCGGGGAGGGGAAGTGGGCGGGGCTGGGAATGGGAGCGTTAGGAAACTGGAGATGCGGATATGAAGGCAGGCCAAAAGCAGTTATGGTTTTACCTGGTTAAACACGTTCCTTCAGAGTGGGCAGGTAGGAACTTGGTTGGACAGCGCATTCGTGCACGACAGACAAATATGCACGACAGACAGACAATCCCTGGTGGGCAGTGTGGAACTTGTTCCTACCTGTATAAAAGATGACTTGAGGTAGCCAGCCAAGTAGCCAGCCCCCTTAACTCTCGGCCCCTCCCCCTTGCTTAGGCCCCTCCCCTTACCCCCCTCCCTTAGGCCCCTCCCCTGACCCCCCTCAGGCCCCTCCGCTGACCCCCCTCCCTTAGGCCTCTCCCCTGACCACCCCCCATATCCTTAGGCCTCTCCCCTGACCCCCCCCTCCCTTAGGCCCCTCCCTTAACCACCCCCATATCCTTAGGCCCCTCCCCTGACCCCCCCCTTTCTTAGGCCCCTCCTCTGACCCCCCCCCCTCAGGCCCCTCTCCTGACTCCCCCCTTCCTTAGGCCCCTCCCCTGACCCTCCTCCCTTAGGCACCTCCCCTCTCCGTACCCGGCAGTAGGTCTCCACCAATCAAAGAGCTGTTTATATTATATCTATGCACGACAGACAGACAAAAAATCCCTGATGGGCAGTGTGGAACATTGTTCCTACCTTGTTCCTACCTGTATAACATTGCTCAATCTATCCATCTTCCCGGTTCAAGTTATGTTTATATATCTTTTGATAGTAGCCCGAAGGTTTGCAGAGCACCTTGGTCTCGGAAAAAAACTATCATGAGAGCCCACAACGTTATAGCAATGGTCAGCCACGGCGGAGGAATTAGTTCTGCTGTGTTTCAGATCTGCCTTGTGTTCACGAACACGGTCCGAGACATGATGCTTCGTGTCCCCAATGTAACAATCACCACAGGTGCAACTTAGTTTGTAGACTCCAGGATATCAGGAATGACAGCATGTCAGGAATGACATCCTTCACAGATGGGATTAGGTCACGGATTTTGTGTAATGTACAGCATCGGACCTGGATCTAGTGTTTAAGATTTTGTAAATCTTTTTAGTAACGCCTGTTATGTATGGTAACGGGATGGTTTTGATCGGCGTCTCAGGGGGTTGTTTCTCCATGGTTGGAAAAACAGCTTGCGGATAATGCTGTCCGAATATCCATTCATCTTGAGGGCCTGGTGTACGTGTTCCAATTCACTGGCTATGTGGTGTTGGTCAGAAATGCAATGGGCCCTATGGTGTAGTGTTTTGATGAGGGAATTCTGTGCCAGATGGTGGTGGGAATCAGGTTTTAGATAGGAATCAATTTTGCCACGCTAAAGCACAGTAAGCTATGTAGCTCTTTTTTCAGAAGCCACCTGGTTATCACAAATAATAGCCCATTAAAGTGGCTTCTCGTGTCTAAAATTTATAGCAGCCAAAATACTCTAAATTCGTGTTTCTAAATGTGGAGGGAACAACCGGAGGACACAGAGAAATCCTCGCGACCACGGGGGGAGAGAGTGACACCGCAGACTCCAAATATACAGCAGGCATCGTATCCACGACCTTCTGCATACCAGGCGAGGTAGCATCTATCCACCGCAGTGAGAGAGGGGTAGTCAGTCGTAGGTAGGTGTCTGTGTGGATCACCGTGTGAGTGGGAAAGAGAACAGTGGAGGTCGTAGGCAGAGGGAGGTCTTGGAAGGAGCCCGGGAGTTTAGAGCACGGACGGCTGGAGGGAAGTTCCAGACACAGGAGCAGCAGAGGAGAATGAGCGACCTCCCATCACTGAGTCAATGAAGGGTAACTCGGGGAGTGCACAGGGAGCCTGGAAGGAAGTGAAGTGAGATGAGAGGTGTGAGGTAGGAGAGTGCGTGGAGTGAGATGAGAGGGGAGAGGTAGGAGAGTGCGTGGAGGGGAGTTGAGTGAGATGAGAGGCAGGGGAGTGTATGGAGTGACATGAGAGGGGAGAGGCGGGAGAGTGAGGAGAGTGGAGTGAGAGGGGAGGAGTAGGCAAGAGTGGGTGGGTGAGGAGTGGTGGTGTTGCGGTTAGCGTGCTGCACTACGAACTTGGCGACCCGAGTTTGATTCCTGCTCACGACCAATAACAGTGGCGAATGTGTGAACCGGTACTGGGCCTCCCCTAGGGAGACTCAGCCTTAATTGAGTGCCTCGTAAAAACATTGACAATACGGAGACAAAGGCGTTGTGCTGACCACTCACCCCATCGTGTGCCGTACCAGCCGTCATAGGTGCTCGCTAACAACACTTAAGGCTATGGGGGGGGGGGTTGTAGTAGGGGGGGTTGTAGTGGGGGGGTTTGTAGTGGGGAGGGGGTTGTAGTGGGGGGGTTGTAGTAGGGGGGGGTTGTAGTGGGGGAGGGGGGTTGTAGTGGGGGGGTTTGTAGTGGGGGGGGGTTGTAGTGGGGGGGGGTTTGTAGTGGGGGGGTTTGTAGTGGGGGGGGGGTTGTAGTGGGGGGGTTGTAGTGGGGGGAGGGGTTTGTAGTGGGGGGGAGGGGTTTGTAGTGGGGGGGGTTTGTAGTGGGGGGGAGTTGTAGTGGGGGGGTTGTAGTGGGGGGGGGTTGTAGTGGGGGGAGGGGCTTGTAGTGGGGGGGGGTTGTAGTGGGGGGAGGGGTTTGTGGTGGGGGGGGGGTGTAGTGGAGGGGTGGGCGCGTGGGAACCCCAGGGCGACGCGCATCTGGAGACTCAGCTGATAACGAGGGGAGGTCATAAACGAGAGGGGGGGGGGCAAAAACAAACAACGAGAGAGTGGAGGGGAGAGAGCGCGTAGAGTAGGCAAGAGATTGGGGAAGACTTACGGAGAGAGACGAGGATATTGTAAGAGGGGAAGGAGAGATACAAAGGCGGTCGAGAGCGAGACGTGTCGACCATGGCCCGAGAGCTCAGCTTCATGGAGGAGCTGCTGCTGCTGCCCCGCGAGGACGAGGAAATGGAGGCCCCCCATTTCTCGACGAGTACGCGGCACCCAGGACACGGCTAGCCGTGGGCACATGGACGTGGGTACACGTGTGTACACGGAGATGTGTACACCTGGAGACGCGTGGGCACATGGACATGGGTACTCGTGGGTACACGGACGTGGACACAGGGTAGGCGGGACGATGCCACCCGTGCCATCCTCCCCACCTGCCTATCTGCGTTGCCTCTTTTTTTGTTGCCAACAGCGGACGAGGAGACAGATCCGTCCGCGGCGGGGTCTTTGCTCCCCTTGGGTCCCCCGCTGGCGGGACCCCCACTCACCCCCACCATGGCTCGGTACGAGATGCTGCAGGCCGAACCCGAGTTCGCCTGCATGGAGGAGCCGGCCTCTTCCTGCGTGCACGCTGCACTGCCCGCGCTCACCTGGGGCAACAGGTCGGTGGGTGCGTGGGCAGAGGTTGATGGCCAAAGGTGACTGATGACGGTCAGGGTGATATGCTCGGTGATGGTGTTGGGTAGTGATGGGAGGTAATGTTCGATGATGTTGGTGGGTAATGCTAGGTGATGTTGATGGGTGACGTTCGGTGATGTTGGGTGATGTTAGGTGGTGTTCGGTTATCTGGTTTTGTGATGTTGGGTGATCCATCATGGAGGTTTTTGGGTTAGATCGCGTAAATATATGTGTCGTTAAAACCCACCACCACCCGACACAACCAACGAGTAAAGCGTTGTCACGTAACAGAACGTGACCAGTTCGTCACTAGTACAGCACACCGGTGTGTTGGAGAGCCAAGCCACAACATTTCCAATCTGAGTACGACGTTTCGCCAGTAATTACAACTAGCTTCATCAGGCGACAGCCAGATTTGTGGAGAAGTCTTTTCGTTCCTTATATAGAGGCGTATATGTGGTGACCACCCTTCTGTGCTCTTGCGCCTACAAAGGGCAGCATACTTCAATATGGATTACCGTTGGTACGGCTATTTTAATACACACAATAGACAGGAAGGACACGTTCAAAGGGCTCGCATAATGCACAATGTGTAGCGTCGGATCGCGTATGCAGAAGTAGCGTCGGATCGCATATGCACATACCGCCTGTATCCACTTACCTGCCGTTCGCCGTATACACTTACCTGCAGTTGCAGCAGGAGGTCGGTAGGGTGTACTAGCGAGTACAAAGGGGATAGAGAGGGAGCCGGACCCAAGAGAGGCGGGGTTCCCCCCCCCCTACCCCAGGTGGGGGGCTGGGAGGGGGCCTTCTAGGATCTTCTGGAAGGTTCCAGAAAGGGGGTGGTACCAGGGGCGGAGGGTCCCCTGGAGGTGTATAAAAGGGGCACCCCGGGCACGAAGACTGAAGAGCAGCGAGACTCGGACCCTGGGACCTCGATCCTGCTGCCCTTGTAAGGGCCGGGTCGAGCTGGGACCAGTGGACGGGACCCGTACCTTGGCTGGGTCGGGTCAGATAGCATCCCCTAGGCCACTGATAGCCGGAGGGCTAAGAGCCAGGTTACCCAGTGTGAGGTCACGTTATCCCGGAGGCTGTACCTCGCTCGATAGTGGACGTTCAGGGGAGCCTAATTACTGGCGAAACGTACTCAGATTGTAAATGTTGTGGCTTGGCTCTCCAACACACCGGTGTGCTGTACCAGTGACGAATTGGCATGTTCTGCTTACTTGACAAACCTTACTAGTTGGCTCGTAAGGGTTTAACGAAAAATGTATATATTTACGCGATCTAACCCAAAAAAACTATATTATATATTAAATTGGTCGCGAAGAGTATGCAAGCCTATGTGTTAAAATGTTGGGTGATGTTAGCTGGTGTTCGGTGATGTTAGTCCATGTTGTGTGATATGTGGTGTTAGGTGATGTTGGGTGATGTTAGCTGGTGTTCGGTGATGTTAGTTCATGTTGGGTGATGTGTGATGTTAGGTGATGTTGGGTGATGTTAGCTGGTGATCGGTGACGTTAGTTCATGTTGGGTGATATGTGATGTTAGGTGATGTTGGGTGATGTTAGCTGGTGTTCGGTGACGTTTGCTCATGTTGGGTGATGTGTGATGTAGGGTGATGTTAACTGGTGTTTCGGTGATGTTAGTTCATGTTGGGTGATGTGTGATGTTAGGTGATGTTGGGTGATGTTAGATGGAGTTGCGTGATGTTAGGTGTGTGTTTGGTGACGTTCTTGTGTGGTGTTGGGTGATGTTAGTTAATGTTGGGTGATGTTTAGTGATACTGGGTTACGTGTGATGTGGTGGTAATGATGATGTTGGTTAAGATGATCGCAATGATGATGGTAATGATGATGGTGGTAATGATGATGGTGGCGGCGGCAATGGTGCTGTGGTGTACATGGTGGAAATGGTGGTGCAATAGGGAGCGGTGGTACAGCGGTTAGCGTGCTGCGCTACGCAAGAGACCCGGCAACCCGAGTTCCATCCCAGCTCACGGCCAACATCACCGACGATTATCTGAACCGGTCCTGGTCCTCCTCCCGTAGGTCGACTCGGACTCAACTTCGAGTGTTAAACATCGCCACTGGGGAGACGAGGCGGCCGGGCGTGGTGCTGCCCGCCAGCCCCCGTCGTGTGCCACAGGGTACTTGCTGCTCGTTCACAGCACTTGACCACGAGAGTGTGTCGAAGGCTACACGGGGGATCTTTGTCTGTCTTTGGGTGCAGTGGGTTGTGTGACGGGGCCTCGCCGTGGCCCGGCGCTCTGGGGTGGTGCTCGGTTCTCATCCTGCACGCGCGCGTCGCTCAGAAGTCGTACGGGAGCGAGAAGCGGTGAGTCGCCCCACCAACCGCAGCGCCACCCATCACTACCGTAAATACACTGATAACGCGTCATGAGCACGACCACACTCCCACACATCACTACTTGTGGCTAAGTTACCCAGCAGTGCGTCTCGCCTCTCACCGCGTCTCGGAAGCTCAGATGGGGTGGAACCTGGACCATGCCGAGTCAGGTGCGGCCACCGTGCAGTGTAAGACAGACTGGTTGTTGAAGGCGGCAGGGGACAGTTGCAGCAGCAACAAAAACCCAATGTTGTACTGTACTATGTGGCAACGTATCTATGCTCCGATCTCCATTAGTCCTGGAAGAATCCAAGCTAACAATTAAACTTGTTTATTTTATTTTACCAGCTAACACCCAGCTCCTGGCCATCACAGATGATAGATAGCTCAACATCATCATGTGCAAACGTATAGCAGCAGCCCAAATACTCTAAACGCGTGATGTGGATTGTAAATGTGGAGGGGAAAACCCGGAGGACTCGGAGAAAAATCCACGCGACCACGGAGAGAGAGACACGCAAACTCGAAATATCCATAATTTAGGTTTTTGGGGGGTTAGATCGCGTAAATATAAATGTGTCGTTAAACCGCTGCCACCCGACACAGCCAATTTAATTAAGGTTTGTCACGTTAACAAAATATGGCCGATTCGTTACTAGTACAGCACTACACCAGTGTGTGTTGGAGAGTAAACCCACTAAAACATGACGTTTTGCCGATAATTCCAACAACAACCATCATCATCATCAGGCGGACAGCCACAGAGAGTTGCGGATACATCCTCCTCCTGTGCCGTTCTTAAATAAAGGTGTCTACAGCAGGCGTTGTCAGGCTCGGGAGGTTCCTCATCCAGCAGTGGATCAACGAAAGGTGCGGTGCGTGTACAACTGAGCTCTGGTGCAGGGTCTGTCTCTGGGCTGGCCTGCTGATGAGCAACCACACCTCTCTCTCTCTCTCTCCGGGTCCTCCGTTTTTCCCTACACATTTAAAAACCTACGACTAGACCAGTGGTTCTTACCCTTTTACTGCAGCCTTGCAGCCCTTTGGTTCTCAGTCGTTAACATAAATGTACAATGTTAATAACTACACAGGGTTTGATGAAACAACGCAAGTTGTAACATCGTCAATATCAGTATCAACATCGTCATCAATATCATTGGCATCATTAACGTGCCCATGCTTAATTTGTGTTTTCGATGATTTACCATCTAAAATAATCTGCCACGTCTCGCTACACCCTCTCCCCCCGCCCGCCCCCCCCCCCCCCCCCCCAGAGAGGGCATTCCGCAGCACCCCAATGGGGTGCCCTGGGGTGGCGTGCACCCCAGGGTAAGAAGAACCACCGCTCTAGATTATTTTCATTATTTAGCTACTATAAATGCCCAAATGATAGGCCACTTTGTGGAGCAGCTATCATTTGTGATGCCCAGGTCGCTTCTGAAAAATAAGTTAATGCCTTAAATAAGTTACAAAACAAGTTAATAAGTGGGCTTTGTCTGGTAGGATGGTTTAGTTTTACGTGTATGTATTTGCGTGATCTGTTTACCCTTGTACTGTTTGTTGTTGTAACGTTCTTACCCCGTACCCCTACTGGGGACATTTGTGAAAACGAGCTTCATAGCTCATCGGATTCTTCCAGTGTCAATAAATATTCTGATTCTGTCTAGATTATGTAGATTATTTTGCTACTATACATTTCCACATGATGATGATGATCATAAGCGACTTGGTTGGGCTCTCATTTTTGATAGCCAGGGTCACTTCTGAAAAAATAGCAACATAGCTCAGTGGGCCCTTACCTGGTAAAATAAAAAATAGTTTAGTATATATTTTTTTATCGATTTGTTTACAATGCCTATATTTCGTGTCTGTGTAGTATTTGTCGTTTTAACGTTCCGACCACCCGTGCCCCCTACTGGACATCTGTAAAAAGTACGCATTGTGCGAGCGAGCAGGTTCTTCTGCCCACCACCCTGTGTCTACCTGCACGGGCCTGGCTGGAGGAGACACCAGGGGCCCGGTGAGGCCTGGGCTGCACGCGGCTCACTGGGGGCCAAAATCACCGCTTGGGAGGCTTCGCTTTTAATGGGAGCCTCTCAACCCCAGGGGGCTGAGCCCTGGAAAATAACAGCGTTTGGTTGTGATGCGGACAGTGGGCGGGGCTACACGAGCAGTGAACAGCTCCTGGTGTTGTGGGCGGTGCTACATTGGCAGTGGGCGGGACTACGTGCGTAGTGGGCGGGGTTACCCGTGCAGTAGACCGGGTTGCCCGTGCAGTAGGCAGAACTATCTGAGCAGTGGGTGGGGTTACAGGAGCAGTGGCCGGGGCTGTGTAATAGGGGGAGGGGCGTGGCAGCTCACTTCCGTGTGTCCCGGTTGAGCCTCGCAGACTTTAGAACTGTGGGACCGTGTGTGTATGTGTGTATATATCAGTGTGTGTGTCCTTGTGTGTGTGTCGATGTGTGTATGTGAGATGGAATCTGCCTCAGTGGCCCGTGATCACAAATCGCTCTTTAATTCCATAAAAATAGTAACTTGCAGCGCAACACCTATTACCATCATTAGGGGAAAGAATGGTTATCCAATCTCCGACCCCCAGAAACAGGTTTGCAGATTTGCCGAGCATTTTTGTGAGGTCCTGGGGAGGGGAAATCCCTCAGCATGGAAAATATGGGGCAAAGTGGGGATGACTTTGCCGAGGCTGCGGTGCCTCAAATATTGGAGGAAAAAGTCACTCCCTGTGAATGGCTGGCTGAGGTACCATCTGTTGAGGAATTACTGAAGACGATCCAGAGTCTGAGACCAGGAAAGGCACTGAGCAGAGATGATCTCCAAAGCGAAATGCTGAGGGAGGGTGGCGTTTGTACATATCCTGCCCTACATGACATAACATTCTGGACCACTAGACGGGTTCCACAGGATTGGAAGGATGCCCTGGAGGTCCCCCTCTTTAAGAAGGAGGACCGCACAGACTGTAACGACTACAGGGGCATCTCACTCCTCAGTGTGCCGGGAAAGGTCCTGGCAAGGATTAATCTTGACTTAAAGCTTTCATGACTGCAGGAAATCATATGTGCTTTCGGAGTCCTTGACCCTCTGCTCACGATCATTAAGGACCTTCATGATGGTAAGCGGGCCCGGGTAAAACTACATGTCCGGGAGTCGGAACCATTCCCTGTACACCTTGGTGTGCGACAGGGGTCCCACATTATTTAACATCTATTTTGACTACGTAGTTCGTGAATCCTTCAATTGCTGCACCGGAGGAATTTCCATCTAGTACAGATACAATGGGAGACTCATCGATGCCCGGGTGCGGTCAAGGGATGGCTCCCTATTGGTCAAGCATGTTACGTATGTCGATGATCTGGTAACTAAGAGGTGGGGCCTTACCATCAGTCCCATCAAAACTAAGCGCCTGCCTGGGTATTTTGTACCATTGGACACTCCACCCCCACAACTCCCAATTGGTGATGGGTCAGTTGTGGAGAGAGTGGAGAGCTTCCCATACCTGGGCAGTGTGCTCATGAGTGGCTCCGGTTTGACAGCCAGAGGTCTCACTCCGAATCAGTCGAGCGGCATTATCTTTTCATCGGTTGCGTAATGCTGTATGGAAGCTACCTGGTCTGTCACTCCACATGAAGCTTCAGGTCTTCTCGGCCACAGTCATGCCCTCCCTTCTTTATGCTTGCGAAACGCGGCGCCCCTAATGGAACATCTTCATCGGTTAGAAACATTTAGGCTGGCCTGCCTACGATCCGTCCTGGGTTTAACCAGGCTGGATTGTGTGAGGAGCTCACAAATCCTTGAAAGATCTGGACAAAGTCCCATCAAGCATGCCCAGCCACCGAATGGCTAAACAGCTTTTGTTCGGCCGGATCAAGGGGGTTAAACGGATACGGCACGGGTTAGAGAAGAGATGACGTGATGTGGTACAGGAGGACGTGGAGCTGAGTGGACTTGCCGATGACTGGGACCGGCGGTGTCAAAATCGGCATCTGCGGAGGAGGCTCGTGAAGGACGCTACTGGGCAGTTGGAGGCAGTCGCCCTCCAACAACAACGGAGGGCGGAGGAGCGACGCTCACAACAACGAGCTGAGCGCCGGGTGGCTAAATCACAGCAAGTTGGCACAGTAGGGGGCACTGGTGGTGCATCGGCCAGTCATCTCAGTCAGTCGACCCATGGCACCTGCGTCTGCCCCATGACCTACTGCCAGCAGGCGTTCGACACTTCACGTGGCCTCAACGTGCACATAGCCTGGCACAGGTACCGTGGTGACGTTACCGTCACTTAGTGGCGAATGGTGGCTGTATTGGTATTGTTCTGTGTTTGTCCGTGTGTGTGTAGTGTGTTTGGGGGGCGCTAGTGTCGCGGTTAAAGCCCGGCAACCCGAGTTCGATTCTCGCTCACGGCCACCAACACCAGTGACGATTATCTGAACCTTCCTCCTGTAGGTCGACTCAGCCTCAAATGAGTACCTGGTGCGGCGCGTAAAAACATCGCCACTGGGAAGACAAAGGCGGCTGGGCTTGGTGCTGGCCACCCACCCCCTCGTGTGCCGTGCCGGCCTCATAGAAGCTGCTGCTCGCTACTAACAGCACTTGCCCCAGCAGTCTGTTAAGGCTACGCCTTTGTGTGTTGTGCCCCCCAGATGGGGGGCCCGTGGCTGTGGTGGCCTGCATGGGGATCCTGCAGGAGGGGGCGGCAGCTGCGGGGCCGCGATGCGAGGAGGCGCAGAGAATACCGCTGCAGCAGCAGCACGCGGGGATGGTACGACAACATCGTCATCAGCATCGTCATTGGCATCATCGAGATCGTCGTCATCGTAAACATCGTCATCTGCATTGTCATCATCAACATCATCATCAGCATCGTCGTCATCAACATCGCCATCATCGTCATCAACATCGACATCATCATCGACATCGTCAGCAACAACATCGTTATCGACATCGTCATCATCAATATTGTCATCAACAACGTCGTCATTAACATCGGCAACATCGGCATCGTCGTCATCAACAACGTCGTCACCAACATCGTCATCGGCATCGTCGTCATCAACATTGGCACCGTCGTCATCATACGCATCGTCATCACATCGTAAATATCATCAGCATCATCGTCATCAATATCATCAACATCGTCGTCATCAGGATTGTCGTCATCAACATCGTCATCAGCATAATCAACATCGTCAATATTAGCATCATCAGCATCAAAATCAATATCATCAGCATCCTCAACATAATTATCAAGATTGTCAGCTTCATCAAAATCATCATCACCACCATCGCTATTATACGCATCACCACTATCATCAAAATCAACATCACGACCATCATCACCATCGTTATCACTGTCGTTAAAATCATCATAGCATCATCACTATCATCATCAGCATCATCATCAGCTACCACTCCTTACCCACACACAAACACCCGTATTAAGGCATGCACATGAGTGGTGGCGCAGTGGTTAGCGCATAGCGTGTCTTCCTATCTGTCTGTCAATCTGTGTCTCTCTGTATCTGTCTATCTGTGTCTATCTCTGTCTCTCTGTGTATCTGTATCTCTCTGTGTCTCTCCTCTCTATTTGTGTCTCTCTGTATCTATCTGTATATTTGTATCTATCTAGATCTCTCTCTGTGCATCTCTCTGTCTCTCCTCTCTCTTTGTCTCTCTCTCCCTTCTCCCCGTTTGTCTCTCCACCACCGCAGAGTTTCGGCTGTGCCAAGACCCTGTTCGTGTCGGACCAGGACAAGAGGAAGCACTTCCGTCTGGAGCTCACACTGGGGTTGGTGGACGGGCAGGAGATCGGTTCCTTCCTCAGCCGAACCATCAAAGTTATCTCCAAGCCATCGAAGAAGAAGCAATCGATCAAGAACGCTGAGCGTGCGTGGCTCTGTCTGTGTGTGTGCCCTCCTGGGTCGACTCAGCCTCAAATGTGTACCTGCGTGTGGTGTGTCAACATCGCCACTGGGGCTGTGTATGGTTTGTTGGCGATGTTGATGATGATGTTGGTTGTTTGTGATGTTGGTTGATGTTGTTTATCCTGTTATTGATGATGTTTTTGTTAATGATGTTTGTTGATGATGTTGGTTATTTGTTGATGATGTTTGTTGATGCTTTGTCGTTGGTTGATGTTTGTTGTTGATGTTGGTTGTTTGTTGATGATGTTGGTTGTTTGTTGTTGATGTTGGTTGTTTGTTGGTGTTGTTTGTTAATGATGTTTGTTGATGCTTTGTCATTTGTTGATGTTTGTTGATGATGTTTGTTGTTGATGTTTGTTGATGATGTTGGTTGTTTGTTGGTGATGTTTGTTGATGATGTTTGTTGTTGATGATGATTGTTGTTGATGTTGTTTGTTGTTGATGTTGTTTGTTAATGATGTTTGTTGATGTTGGTTGTTTTTTGATGTTGTTTGTTGATGATGTTTGTTGATGCTTTGTCATTTGTTAATGTTTGTTGTTGATGTTGTTTGTTGATGATGATGTTGGTTGTTTGTTGTTGATGTTTGTTGATGATGTTGGTTGTTTGTTGGTGATGTTTGTTGATGATGTCGATTATTTGTTGATGATGTTTGTTGTTGATGTTGGTTGTTTGTTGATGTTGTTTTGTTGTTGGTGGTGGTGCCCCAGTCTGTATCCCGTCGGGATCACGCGTGGCACTGTTCAACCGCCTGCGCTCGCAGACTGTGAGCACGCGCTACCTGCACACACAGGGGGGCGGCTTCGTCGCCAGCGGGCAGCAGTGGGGCGCCTTCACCCTGCACCTGGGTGAGGGCACGGGGCACCCACAGGGGGTGCTGGACTGGTGGTGGTGATGGTGGTGGGCTGGTGGTGATGGTGGTGGTGATGTTGGTGGTGATGGTCCCGTGGTGGTGATGGTGGTGATGATGATGGTGGTGGACTGGTGGTGATGGTCCCATAGTGGTGATGATGGAGGTGATGATAGTGGTGGTGATGGTGGTAAAGATGGTGTGGATGGTCCCGTGATGATGATGATGATGATGGTCCCATAGTGATGATGATGGTGGTGATGATGATGGTAGTGATGACGGTGGTGATAGTTCCGTGGTCTTTATGATGGTGGTGATGTCGCGTGCGAGAGCAGTGGAGGACTCGAGGCCTATGCAAGGAGGCTTCTCGCTGCGTGATGGCTTCGTACGCTACGGGGCGAGTGTGCGGCTCGTGTGCCCAGAGAGTGGCCTGGCACTGCCCACCATGGTGACTCACCCTCCTCACCACCCTCCTCACCACCCCCCTCACCCCCCTCCTCACCACCCTTCTCACCACCCCCCTCACCACCCTTTTCACCAACCTCACCCCTCTCACTCCCCTCACCACCCTCACCCCCCTCACCACCCTCCTCACCACCCTCACCCCCCTCACCACCCTCATCACCCTCACCATCCTCACCGCCCTCATCACCCTCACCACCCTCATCCTTCTCATCATCATCACCCTCATCGTCAACCTCACCGTGACCCTCATCATCACCACCCTCACCCTAACTCACCTCATCCTTATCATCATCACCCTCACCCTCATCGTCACCCTCACCATGACCCTCATCATCACCACCCTCATAATCCTCATCGTCATCACCCTCGCTCTCATTGTCGCCCTCCTCCTGTCTCCTCATCAGCATCCTCCTCACGTCTCTCCCATCGTTATCAATCTCCTCGTTTCTCTTCCTCATCCTAGATCTCAACGTTGAGAACCCTTGGTCTGTCTTCCTCACCAGGTGCATCTCAACATTTAGAACCCCTTGCACTGCCTTTCCCCCGCCCGCCAGGTGATTCGGAAGGTGGAGAAGCAGAGTGCCCTGCTGGCCGTGGATGAGCCGGTGTCCCAGCTGCACAAGTGCGCGCTACTCGTGAAGGGCAGCGCCAGTGCCTACCTGTGCCTCTCCAACGACCGCATCGTCCTCTACCGGGTGACTCCCCACCCCCCCCTCCCCCCCTCGCCCCCCCTACCCCTCCATTGTCGCTCCCCCCCCCCCCTTCGTCGCCCCCCCCAATCCATAAGTTGCCCCCCCCACCCTTTCATCGTCGCCCCACCAACCCCCTTGGTCGCCGGTCGCCCCCCCCCCCCTGGTCGCCCCCCCCCCCACCCTTCCATCGTTCCCTCCCAATCCCCCGTGAACCCCCTCAGTCACCCCCCCCCCACCCCTCCATGGGCTCCCCACCTCCGTCACCACGAGGATGACCGCCGGAGTACACGTGGTGATGAAGCTCCTTGACGCGACCGTGCAAGGCGCATCGCGGCCCATTTGTGGCCGAGCCTCTCTATCGCATGTAATGAGCGTGGGCGGACATTTACACATGCACTCGTGGGTCTCGCACACTGTCGGATCTTGCGGTAACCCCGGGGCGGTCACGACACATGCCCGAGAATCTCGTACACACGCACACACGTACACGCACAAAAGCACACGTCTCCCCGACGGCCCGTGAAAGAGTACGAGCGGAATGGGGACCTTCGCCTGTGGTGCGCGCCACAGGCCTCTCCGTGCACCCGCGACCCGGCACGGGAGCTGCTGGGCGACGGAGCCTGCTGGACCATCATCGGCACGGAGCGCGTGGAGCACAGCTTCTTGCAGCCCGCTGGGGTGGTGGGGCCGGGGGGGGGCGGCCCCCCACCCCCGCAGCTGGGGCCAGTCACCCCCATCCCGAGCATCACCGGCTTAGAGGTGTGCCCCTACTTACAGAGACACGCAGCCTGTTGGGCAGGCGCTCACTCTGCCCGACGATAATAATTATTATAATCCAATCATTATTGAAGTATCAGTCAGAATAACAATAATTAAAATAACAATAATTAGAATGATAGTGCAATCATTATTGAAGTATCATTCTGAATAACAATAATTATAATTATAATTCAATCGTGACTGCAGCAATTAATATTCTTGGGTCTTTCGGTAAAGCCACATAGATAGGTTAAAAGAAAATAACAAAAAATTACAAAAGACTATGACATTTCGATCGCAACACAAGCGGTCGTCTTCAGGAAAAGGGGGGTTAGCTTCCAAGGCAAACTGTTTATAAGGATTTGAAATGGGCATAGCCCAAATGTCAGCAGCCAATGATAATGTAAGTGGTGGGTAGCCAACCCGACGGTGGTTGGTTTTCCACCAATCAAAGGGCTGCCAGGTGAAAATTAGCATGTTAAAGAAAGATTAACATGTTAATGGGAGATCGCAGAGCCGCATCAAGAGGTCGGCTCATGAAGTGACTGTAAAAGCGCACGTTTGAAATGGGCGTAAAGCAAAACTAACATCGGAACGTGGTAGGATTGGAACATCATAGCCAATTATGACTTAAACTGGGTTCTAGACCACCCAGATTGTATGGCTTACCAAAAATCCACAAAGAAGGGACACCCCTTCATCCTATCGTCTCCCTCCACCATTGACTCACCCACCGACAAACTGGGCCGATTTATGTCTGAGACCTTACAACCATTCACTGGTAAGACCACCTCAGCTGTACTCAACTCAGCTCACTTGGTACCGTTAATTAATGACATCTCACTATCTCCAGGTGATTTGCTCGTTAGTTCCGATGTGGTCTCTTTGTTTACCAAAGTTCCTGTGCCCAACACCATTGCAATCATTGAAGAATTGGTCCAACAAAGACTGAATGCTGATGTACCGGCCCTGGTGAGACACTGCCTCACCAACACTTACTTCACCTGGAATGGAACATTCTACAAACAAGTTGAAGGTACCCCAATGGGTTCTCCCTTATCTCCAGTTGTAGCCAATGGTTTAATGGAAAAATTTCAGACAGATGCCATCCAGGTATCCACTCTACGTCAGTCCTTGTGGAAGAGGTGCGTAGATGACACATTCGTCATATGGCCACATGGCCGACCAGCTCTGAACCAATTTCTAAACCACATCAATTCCATACACCCAGCCATCAAATTCACTATGGAGGTGGAAAAGGATAGCAAGTTACCATTCTTGGATGTTTTAATCGAAACGAGACCAGATGGCTCAATTGAACACTGTCTACAGGAAAGCCACCCATACGGATGCCCACCTAAAACCTGACTACCACCACCATCCATCCCAGAAGAATTCCCTCATCAAAACTCGACACCATAGAGCTCGATGTATTTCCGACCGTTATCACCTAGCCAGTGAACTGGAATACGTACACCAAGCTGTCAAGATGAATGAATATATCAGACTACATAATCCGTAAAGCTATCACCCCAACCGTTAGGAAAGAACCATCTGAGGACCCAGTCAAAACCATCACCTTACCATACATAGCAGGGGTCACCAAAAAGATCTCCAAAATCATGAGCAAACACAAGATTCAGGTTCGATTTAACACAGGACATAAAATTCGTGATCTGATCCCATCTGTGAAGGATGTGATCCCTGACATGCAATACCCCGGTGTCTACAAACTAAGCTGTGTCTGCGGCAATAGTTACATTGGGGAAACTAAGCGACATGTCTCGGACCGTGTTCGTGAACTGATCTGAAACACGGGAGGACCACTACCTCGGCTGTGGCTGATCATTGTTTTAATGTGGTGGGCTCACACGAAATGTATTTCTCTAAGACAAAGGTACTTTGCAAGGCCACTGGCTATCAACAAAGATTCGTTCATGAAGCCATCTATATATATAAACACAGACACAATTTCAACCGAGAAGATGGGTACAAACTGAGCAATCATTGTGTAGTGAGTCTGAGTCGCATACGTTATTCTTCAGAGGCAACACATTTATTGTAACACTTATGTACAAAGGGGTAACTGCCCCTTTACCAGATACAGCCTGGGGTGGTGACCACCCAGCTAACTACACTATACTTAGGAGTTACAGCTACGAAGGTTCGGACCCTCACTCGGGTCCCTGGCAACGTATTGATGCCTCCTCAGATGTAGGACGTAGAGCTTCCAGCTCGTAGAACAAAGTGACCCCGGTCCTTCTCAGGGACCCACCTTATATTCTGGCGGGCTCTGCCCTCGGCCCCGCCCACCTTCTCGAGCGTTCTAGCTTTTGCTCGATACCCCTCGAGAGCTCTCCCTGGACACGTGATCACCCCTAGCCCCCCCACCTGGGGCCTTCTCTGTGGACACTCCAGATCACGTGTCTACGGGGTCAACCAGAGTGCCATGGCCCGGGACAATCCTGTCCCTGGGCTGACACTCTCCCGTTCCCCCTTGTGGGAGCCCCCACCACACGCGATTCGTGGTGCCCGCGCTATCCCAGCTCTCACCAAGCCCCGCTAGGGCTGGTACTACACCCATCTACGGGGTGTACGCGATGATGGTGCATCGCACGCCGTGCTATACTAAAGCTGGCATCACACAGCAACCCACGCGGTGCTGTCCGCGACGTAAGGACATAAAATGCACGCCCCTCCCGGGCCGGCACCATACAGTGCCATCCCCGATGTCACTACAATTGGAAGGACGTTATCAACCAGTTTAAGTCATAATTGGCTATGATCCCATCCTACCACCTTCCGATGTTAGTTGTGCTTTTCACCCATTTCAAACTTGCGCTTTCACAGTCACTTCGCGCGCCGACCCCTTGGTTGCAGCTCTGCGATCTACCATTAACATGCTAATCTCTCTTTAACATGCTAATTTTTACCTGGCAGCCCTTTGATTGGTGGAAAACCAACCACCGTAGGGGTGGCTAGCCACCACTTACATTATCAATGGCTGCTGACATTTGGGCTACGCCCATTTCAAACCCTTATAAACAATTTGCCTTGGAAACTAACCCCCCTTTTTCTGAAGACGACCGCTTGTGTTCCGATCAAAACGTCGTAGTTTTTTGTATTTTTTTGTTATTTTCTTTGAACCTATTTACATGACTTTACCGAAAGACCCAAGAATATGATAATTAACTCATTATTGATGTATCATTCAGAATAGCAATAATTCACTGTGTAACAAAACATTTTTTTTGTTCCTGGGTAGTAAGTGTCATGTCCTAATTGCTTATGTCTCAAAAGTACATAAAATTACCTACAAACTTTTCAATTTTTAATGAGAAAACGTGTGCATTTATGTCTTTCGTTCACGAATTTTTGTTCCTGGGTACTAATTGTTATTTTTTAATGCCTAAAAAGTATAGAAAATGGCGATTATTCCCCACAAACTTTGCTTTTGTCTTTCGTTCACGAAAGACATAGAAGCAAAGTTTGTTCACGAAAGACATAAAAGCAAAGTTTATGGGGAATAATCGCCATTTTCTATACTTTTTAGGCATAAAAAATAACAATTAGTACCCAGGAACAAAAATTGTGTTAAATAGTGATATATAATCAGAATAACAATAATTATAATAATAATCCAATCATTGTTGAAGTATTATTTAGAAAAGCAATAATTAAAATAATAAATTGAAGGATAGTCGATTGATAATTCAATTGAATTCAGAATGATAATTCAATGATTGCATGATTATCAGTCTCATTATATATCGTGAGAATTATGTAATTATAATTATAATGATCATTATTGGTAATGATTGAATTATTATAATTGTTATTATTCAGTATGTTCGGTGGCAGCGCAGTGGTCACAGTCGGTGCAACCTCGTGGCAAGAAAGATGCCTGTGTTCGATTCCTGACTCAGGGCGCCTCTCTCTTTGTGGAGTTTGTACGTTCTGCCCCTCGTTCTAGTGAGTGAACGAGAATGAGTGTGCGTGTGTACTGGGGAGCGGTGGTGAAGCAGCGGTTAACGCTCTGCTGTGCTACGAACCCCGTCGAATTGGAGCTCGATTCCCTCTCACGGCCAACACCGTGAGAGGGAATCGAGGTCGACTCAGCCTCAAATTCGTGCCTGGTGCGGTGTGCAAACATCGCCACTGGGGAGACAAAGGCGTGGTGTTGGCCACCCTCCCCATCGTGTCCTGTACCAGATGTCTTCGGTGCTCGCTAACGGCACTTGCTCCTACAGTTTGTTAAGGTTATGCGGGGGATCTTTGGTGTGGGGTGTGGATGTGTGGGGTGTGGGTGTGTGGGGTATGTGGGTGTATGTGTGGGTGGGTGTGTAAACATTTAGGCTGGCCTGCCTACGATCCATCCTGGATTTAACCAGGCTGGATTGTGTGAGGAGCTCACAAATCCCTGAAAGATCTGGGCAAAGTCCCATCGGTGAGCTCCTCCGGCAGGCAAGGCTGCGTTGGCTGGGTCATGTAGCCCGCATGCCCAGCCACCGCATGCCTAAACAGCTTTTGTTCGGCCGGATCGAGGGGGCTAAACGGGTGCGGCACGGGCTAGAGAAGAGATGGAGTGATGTGGTACAGGAGGACGTGGAGCTGAGTGGACTTGCCGATGACTGGTACCAGCGGTGTCAAGATCGGCCTCTGTGGAGGAGGCTCGTGAAGGACGCTACTGGGCAGTTGGAGGCAGTCGCCCTCCAACAACAACGGAGGGCGGAGGAGCGACGCTCACAACAACGAGCGGATCCCCGGGTGGCTAAAGTACAGCACGTTGGTACAGTAGAGGGCACAGGTGGTGCATCAGCCAGTCATCTCGGTCATCTCGGTTAGTCGACCCGTGGCACCTGGGTCTGCCCCATGACCTCCTGCCAACGGGCATTCGACACTTCACGTGGCCTCAAGGTGCACATGGCCTGGCACAAGCATCGTGGTGACGTCACCGCCACTTAGTGGCGAATGGCGGTTGTTGTGTACGTGTGTGGGTGTGTGGGTGCACCACTTGACATGGGGAGTACGCGGGTGCTGTTGCGTGACAGCTGCATGGTGGGGGTGACGTGGCCACGCTGGAGCTGACCGGGGAGCACCTGGAGCCCGGCCTCAAGGTGTGGTTCGGCGCAGTGGAGGCTGAAACGCTCTACAGGTGAGGGGGCCACGACACTCCGTGGACGCCTTCACAGCAAACAAGAAGGAGCCCTGGGGTCGGTCCCCCGACTCTCGGGCGCCAGTCTGTGTTGGGGAATTGTATGTGCTCTCGTGAGTGAGAGTGTGAGTGAGTGAGAGTGTGTGGAGTCTGTGTGTTCCAGAGAGTGTGAGAGTGAGTGAGAGTGAGTGAGAGTGTGTGAGAGTGTGTGGAGTCTGTGTGTTTAAGTAATGGAGTGTGAGAGTGAATGAGAGTGTGTGAGTGTGTAGAGTATGTGTGTTCTCGTGAGTGAGTGAGAGTGAGTGAGAGTGTGTGGAGTCTGTGTTTCAGTGAGGGATTGTGAGAGTGAATGAGTGTGTGAGTGTGTAGAGTATGTGTGTTCTCGTGAGTGAGAGTGAATGAGAGTGTGTGGAGTCTGTGTTCTGGTGAGTGAGTGAGTGTGAGAGTGAATGAGAGTTTTTGAGTATGTGAATATGTGGAGTCTGTGTGTTCCAGTAAGTGAGTGTGAGAGTAAGAGTGTGTGTGTTAGTGAATGTATGTGAATGTAAGAGTGTGTGAGAGTGAGAGTGTGTGAGAGAGTGAGAGTGTGTGTGAGTGTGTGGAGTGGTAGTGTGATAGTGGGGAGTGGTAGAATGCTGTGCTACGAACCCGGTGACCCGAGTTCGATTCCTACTCACGGCCAATACCAGTGACGGTTATCTGAACCGGTCCTGGGCCTCTAGGTCGATTCAGCCTCAAATGAGTACTGGGCAGACAAAGGGGGCCAGGCGTGACGTTGGCCACCCACCCCGTCGTCAAGCTAACAGCACTTGCCCCAACAGTCTGTGAAGACTATACGGGGGATTTTGTCTTTTTGTCTTTGAGTGTGATAGTTCTGCAATGGGTTTCCTCCGGGTTCTCCGATTTCCTGCCATAGCCAACCCCACCGACACACACACAGTGGGTACAATGTAACTGGTGCAGCTACCAAGCTTTGGAATGCAGTCGCGTAGAGTTCCAGATGCAATCCGCGGACAGCCAACTTCGTGAATACCATGGGAATACCGTAATACCGAAATATAATTAGATTAATGAGGGAATATCGTAATGTAATTATAAAACCGAGGGAATACTATAATCTTGACTTAAAGCTTTCGTGACTGCAGGAATTCAAACTCTTTGGGTCTTTCGGTAAAGTCACGTAGATAGAAAAAGAATAATAAAATCACGACGTTTCGATCGCAACACAAGCAATCGTCTTCAGGTGAAAAAATACAGCAGGCGGACTGCTGAGTCAGGAAGAAATATAGCGAGAGAGCTGCTGCAGCCAAAGGTCATAGAGGTTTGAGATGGGTACAACCCAAGGGTAAGTGGGCGGGGCTAGAGATGGATTTGCAAGTAAATGTAAGATCGCAGAGCTAGGAATACCTCGGCTATTGTGTTGCTAGAGATGAGCATGTCAATCTGTTAATGTAACCCCACGGCTACGGTGCTGAAGAAGCCATTGTATTGCTCGAGATTAGAGATGAGCATGTCAATGTGAGACGCTTCCCGCAGCAGCGGCTGTGTTAATGAGAGACATTCAGCCGATTAAACAACGAGCGCCACCGGCGCATCGAGGAAAAGGGAGCAGCGGCTACGCTAGTGAGACATTTATCCTGTTAATGTAAAGACATTTAACAAGGTAATGTAACTCTGAGAGTCAGAAATAACTGCTAAACATAGGAAGGTAGGATGGAAGCATCACAGCCAGTTATGACTTTATAGTCATAACTGTTAAATGACTTTATAGTCATAACTGTTATGTGGTTATAATATAGTTATCTAATTATAATAATGAGGGAAATCGTAATGTTATTATCCCGTAAACTAATTATAATAATATGGAATACAGTGATGTGATTATAATATCGAGAGTATATCGTAATCTAATTATAATGAGGCAATATCGTTATGCGATTATAAAACTGAGGGAATACCGTATTCTAATTATAATAATGAGGGAATATCGTAATGTGTTTATAATAATGAGGGAATACCGTAATCTAATTACCACAACGTACATTAAAAAAAAAAGGTTACGAATGTTGCCACCTCCCCAAAGGCCGCCGCGGGGCCTCCTGTGCGCGGTCCCCGACGTGTCGGCCCACGGCGGCGAGTGGCGCTGGGCCCTCCAGCCCACGCGGGTCCCCCTCACGCTGGGGCGCCCCGACGGCCTCCTGTACCCAACAGCCTACAGCTTCTGCTACACACCGGAGCCTGCGTGGGCCCTGCCGGCGGCTTCTTCGCTCGACGGCGGCCCTCCGCCCACGGCGGAGCCCGCCCTGAGCCACGCGTCGATGTTGCCACCATCTTTGTCCTCCTCGTTTTCGTCGTTGTTCGCCTCCTCTGGGGGGCTGGGGGTCGTGGAGGCAGCAGCAGCATCAGGAGGAGGAGATACGATCCTGAGCTCCATTCACCAGGAGTTCACGAGATGCGGACTTCATCTGCTCGCTCAGAGCTAGAGATGCAGACTTCGTCTGCTCGCTCATGCGCCGACACATTGGGAAAAAACGTCTCGAACAAATTCATAAAAATCCTGAAGAAAAAAAAATGTGCAAGAAAAATATATTTTTTAAGATGTGAATTTCCCCCGAAGATGAGGCTGTAAACTTTAAAACTGGAACCCCTACACAGCCACCACGGCCACTACGGCTTAACCAAACACAAAGACCCCCTCCCCCCCTGTAGCCTGTAACAGACTCTTGGGGCAAGTGCTGTTAGTGAGCACCCATGGAGGCCGGCATGGCACACGAGGGGGTGGGTGGCCAGCACCACACCCCGCCGCCTTTGTCTCCCCAGTCGCGATATTTACACACCGCACCAGGTACTTTTTCAGAATCAGAATATGTATTTCTATTGGCGGAATCCGATGAGCTACAAAGCTCTTTTTCACAGATGTCCAGTAGGGGCACGGGGTAAAAACAAACAGTACAAAAACACGATAGTAGTGCATTGTACGAGAATGGCAAACAAATCACACAAAAAGAAACAAAGAAAACTAGACCATCCACATCCTACCAGGCAAAACACATTGGGGAATTAATTGAGGCTGAGTCGACCTAGGGGAGGCCCAGGACCGGTTCAGATAATCGTCACTTGTGTTGGCCGCGAGCGGGAATCGAACTCGGGGGTCCGCGGGATCGTAGCGCAGCGCAGCACGAACCGCTACGACGCTACCAGCTCTCTGAACCACAATTCCATTCACAATCACGATGGCAGCGTTACGTGGGGGTCAGGATCTGGATGCCAATGTCGAAGTCTGCTGCTGATGCTATTGACACGACGAGAGAGGGCAGAGAGAGACTTCATGTGTTGTTGAAGTAGGTGATCTAAAACAACAACCGTGTTGTGTCTGTTGCAGAAACTGTGGCTCAAACTCAGGAATGGATCCCGAACGTGATCTTGGTAGCGGTGATCCAGTGTCTTTGGGCCGGAAGCCGTCTCGTGTTTACAGGAGAGGGTACAGCACAGCAAGTGGGAGGTCGTCGCGAGCCCGCGGGTTGTCATCGGGAGTCGATTGGGGTCCGTTGAAGCCGGTACACCAATGATCAGCGAGATAGGACGGAGCAGATCGATGGGGGCTCTTGAGAAGACGAGTAGGAGGCGCGATGACGTCTGCGTCTCGAACAAGGTGCTTACTTAACGACAATCATCAATAGTTATTATCGATAGTTAATCGTCATAATTGATAGTAGACCAATGATGTACGTGGGGCCGTTCGTGCGAACTGCATCCCGGAGTGCTCGGAGGGAGTTTGCAGCGCGCGCAGTTTTCGCACGGCGGTGCAGGGAGCCGTAGGCAGCGGAGTGGAAGGCGGCCAGCCAGAATGGACGCCGCCAAGAATTTGCCCGAGCTCTGTGGTCCTATATTTAGATATTTGGCCAGGAATGTTTTATGCTGGTACGATGTTAAACTTACAATGGGTGGTTTATTTTTTGCAAATCTTTAGATGAGATGTATAACTTTTATTTGTTTCAACCAGTGGTTCTTCACCTGGAGTGCACGCGTCCCCTGGGGGTGCGAGATGCTCTTTCTGGTGGGCGTGTGAGATGTGGCCAAATTTCTTTTTTAGAAGGTAAATCATCGAAAACACAAATTAAGCATCGGACACGTTAAGTAACAGACTTTGTTCCATCAAACCCTATGTGGTTTATGAACATTACATATTTTTTTTCAAAGATTGAGAACCAAAGGAGTCAATAGGCGGCGGTAAAAGGTTGAGATACCGCTGGGTTTAAATCGCATTTGCTGCTTACTCTTAGAGTGAGAAAGGGGAAGATGATACTTGGAGATACTTGGAGAGGCCGCTGACCCCCGTATATTTTTGAACTAGAAGGAAAACCGCGTTGCCGATTAATCACAAAAAAATATGACGATCGGTTTGTATGTGTAACGGCTTAAATACTGCAGGAGACGAGTTGCCGGAGGCAGCACGTATTTATTTATAACACCCTACAGAACAGTCATCTATACAGCCTAGGAACACAGCCTACGGCTACGCGTGCCTGACACCGGCTACGCTTTTAGGTCCTCCGGCTATGTCCTTCCTAGAGGAGGCCATCTGACCCGACCTAGCCAGGGTACGTGTCCCAACCACTGGCTCATCAAACCCGGCCCTGATAAGGACGTCGGGCCGTGAGTACCCAGGGTCTCACCACTGAGCCACACAGAGTCCCGGCCCTGATAAGGGCAGCGGGGCTAGGGGTCCCAGGGTCCTATGTAGCTTGCTCCGTCTTCATTCTTCACTGGCTTCAACGACTCCCGAGCGCTCATGCGCATCGCCTTATATAGCCCTCTGCTCCCCGAGGGGCGGGGCTAGTGCGGACGTCGGTGTAGCCACCCATGTGCGGACCGTGATGTAGACACTGGCTACGCGATGGCTCGCTACATCCCGGTACGTACCACCTCTACACATGTGTAATGACAGGGTGACATCTGTCGGCCTGGAGTGGTAATTGCGGTTATGGGTGCATTACGTAATGCCTTATTATAAGGGGGCGTATCTGGGGTAAAGGTGAAAGGCGGAGTCAGTCTAGAAACTCCGGAAACCGGCTCGAGGGTTCTGGAAGGGGGCGTGGCCAGAGGCCGTGCCGGGGGCAGATATACGGAGGACCGAACCAGAGGTTCGGGGCTGCCCAGCATCATTTCTTCGTTCACCGACCACATGGCTGATCTGCTGCAAGACCCTCTTCGCTGCTGTCGCTACGCTAGTCTGACAGCTGCGTAGATGTATGCCGGCGATGGGGCTGTGAGTATTAGGATCGCCTATGTGTAGCTGTGTTACATAATGTATCTCCCAGTGTGCTCTTCATAAATAAGAAGCCTTCTACTCGGCGTGTCTCGGAAGTCGCTCACTACACATGTATAATATAGGTTTTTCTTTTCTTGGGTTAGATTGCATAAATATAAATGTGTCGTTAAACCCGCGACAACTAGTAACGAATTGGCGTGTTCTGTTTACGTGACAAACCTTACTAATATGACGGCTGTGTCGGTTGGTGGCGGGTTTTAACAATACATTTATATTTACGCGATCTAAACAAACCCCCCCCCCCCCCATATTATGGATGATATTGGTCGCGAAAGCCTCCTAATACGTGTTAAACTGGTTTACATGTTAATTGTCCCTCTGATTTAGAGATAATAAAAATAAATAATTTTCACTGCGTGTGTATTTAAAATGAAATTATTTGATTCGCCCATGGATTTATTAAACTCGTGATCTTATTTATCCGCTGTGTTATGGTCCAGGATCTCGATTCCAATGTTGAGGTACTGCTGTTGCTGCTACCACGACGAGATGACGTCAGCAGAGAGAGATCGTGTCGTGTCGCTGTTCCTCCTCCTCCAATGACAGAGGGCAGATTACCACAATGAGTTTACTCTAAGGATTCTACGTATATATATGAGACTGTGCATCTCTATGGGTTTCTATAGGTCTCTGTGTTTCTTTATGAGTCTCTATAGATCCCTATCATTCTCTATGCGTTGCTGTGTATCTCTATGGGTCTCCATGCATCTATCAGTCGATATAGGTCCCTGTGTGTCTCTATGTGTCTCTACGTGTCTCTACGTGTCTCTATGTTCTTCCCCGAGTCTATGGGTTCTCTGTATGGTCCGTGGTGTGGCAATCCACAAGCCGGGGAGCCTCATCACCTTCGGCGCTACGGACATCAACGATGGCCCTCGCATACTCTGTAGCCGAGCACTGTGCACCAGCATGGATCAGAAGTAGTTTCCACTCAACTTGTTGATATATAACAGAACCATCATCAACATCACCACCATCGTGAACATCACGATCAACAACATCGCGTGCCATCATCGCCACGTGTCACCATCACTAGCCATCACTACTTAACACCGCAACGCGGTGTTGTATCGCTGTAACCCTCAGATCGACCCCAACCACCCTGGCTGCCCGTGCTGTCACCAAATCTCTCCCCCAGCCATCCGCCCGACGCAGCAACCCTGCGGGAAGTCCCCTGCGAATCATCAGGGACAACAGTCGCCCCCTTCCCATCTGCCAGGACCTCAATAACATCCCTCGACATCGCTTGAAGTCACGCAGCAAGCCCCCTTTTTGGACCCCATACACTTAACCTTCAGTGATGCGAGTTCAACTCCACGATGAAGCTTGGGAGAGCTGAACAGAGGTCAACAGAACTCACGAACAGACACCACCTTTCTGTGAAAGATCCAACGCAGATGATTCCCTGCGTTTTTTTTATCTTCCACGACGCTGCTCACAGTCCACCCTAAACCGCATCATCCACTGCACAAACCGTGGCAGCAGCAGTAGATAAACCTGATAATGATGATGCACACATGGGGAATTAAAAACTCTCCGGTAGTAGTGGGTGGCGACTGTGGTCATCCAGATCGAAAGACCGTGCAGCGTGGAACCACGCTAATGCTCCCGATCCACAAATACGAAGGAGACGTCACAGCGATGATGATGATCCACTACTCCGCTACTGCTCCTGACGCGGTTATCTGCTGGCTTGACCACCCGCATGTGAAATTGTAGTCATTTTTGGCTCTGCATCTATATGAACTACAAGAAGACTATAAGGTATCTATGTATCTCTTTGTATATCTATGTGTCTCTATATATATGGATCACTATGGGTCTCTATGTGTCTCTGTGTATCTCTATGAGTTTACTATCTGTGTCCATCGTGTGTGTTGCATGCCCACAATCACAGCACTGTGGCTGTGTCTTGAATGTGTAGTGGCATGGAATTGGTCACTATGGAGCATAGCGCTGGTTGCTGACAGAGAAGGGGATCTACGGTTGTAGCGGCCCTGTCAGCAGGTCACGTGATAAGCCAGAGAGAGGGATGTAGGGCAAAGGTGATAGAGGGGACGTGTGAGGTAAAGCCCGGGAACCTTCTATTAGGTTCTAGAAGGGGGGCGTGGCCGGAAGCGGAGCAAGGCCTCGCTGGGTGGATAAAAGGGGGACCCCGAACAGGTTCGGGGCTGCTGTTTGGAGTGGATCCCGTCGTCTTCGTCACCGTCTTCACCTTCTCGGCGTTGTCAGTCAGGCAGCCCGTTAGCTGTCCTGATGCTACTACCACTGCTGATGATGCTACTACCACTGCTCCTGCTGATGATGCTACTACCACTGCTGATGATGATGCTACTACCACCACTGCTGATGGTGCTACTACCACTGCTGATGATGATGCTACTACCACTGCTGATGATGTTACTACCACTGCTGATGATGATGCTACTACCACTGATGATGATGCTACTACCACTGATGATGATGCTACTACCACTGCTGATGATGATGCTACTACCACTGATGATGATGCTACTACCACTGCTGATGATGTTACTACCACTGATGATGATGCTACTACCACTGATGATGATGCTACTACCACTGCTGATGATGATGCTACTACCACTGCTGATGATGATGCTACTACCACTGCTGATGATGATGCTACTACCACTGCTGATGATGATGCTACTACCACTGCTGATGATGCTACTACCACTGATGATGATGCTACTACCACTGCTGATGATGATTCTACTACCACTGCTGATGATGATGCTACTACCACTGCTGATGATGCTACTACCACTGATGATGATGCTACTACCACTGATGATGATGCTAATACCACTGCTCCTGCTGATGATGCTACCACTGCTGATGATGATGCTACTACCACCACTGCTAATGGTGCTACTACCACTGCTGATGATGATGCTACTACCACCACTGCTGATGGTGCTACTACCACTAATGATGATGCTACTACCACCACTGCTGATGGTGCTACTACCACTGCTGATGATGCTACTACCACTGCTGATGATGATGCTACTACCACTGCTGATAATGCTACTACCACTGCTGATGATAATGATGCTACTACCACTGATAATGCTACTACCACTGCTGATGATGATGCTACTACCACTGATAATGCTACTACCACTGCTGATGATGATGCTACTACCACTGATAATGCTACTACCACTGCTGATGATGATGCTACTACCACTGCTGATGATGCTACTACCACTGCTGCTGATGATGATGCTACTACCACTGCTGATGATGCTACTACCACTGCTGATGATGATGATGCTACTACCACTGCTGATGATGATGCTACTACCACTGATAATGCTACTACCACTGCTGATGATGATGCTACTACCACTGCTGATGATGCTACTACCACTGCTGATGATGATGATGCTACTACCACTGCTGATGATGCTACTACCACTGCTGATGATGATGATGCTACTACCACTGATAATGCTACTACCACTGCTGATGATGATGCTACTACCACTGCTGATGATGCTACTACCACTGCTGATGATGATGATGCTACTACCACTGCTGATGATGCTACTACCACTGCTGATGATGATGATGCTACTACCACTGCTGATGATGCTACTACCACTGCTGCTGATGATGATGCTACTACCACTGATAATGCTACTACCACTGCTGATGATGATGCTACTACCACTGCTGATGATGCTACTACCACTGCTGATGATGATGCTACTACCACTGCTGATGATGCTACTACCACTGCTGATGATGATGATGCTACTACCACTGCTGATGATGCTACTACCACTGCTGATGATGATGATGCTACTACCACTGCTGATGATGCTACTACCACTGCTGATGATGATGATGCTACTACCACTGCTGATGATGATGATGCTACTACCACTGCTGATGATGCTACTACCACTGCTGATGATGCTACTACCACTGCTGATGATGATGATGCTACTACCACTGCTGATGATGCTACTACCACTGCTGATGATGATGCTACTACCACTGCTGATGATGATGATGCTACTACCACTGCTGATGATGCTACTACCACTGCTGATGATGATGCTACTACCACTGCTGATGATGCTACTACCACTGCTGATGATGATGATGCTACTACCACTGCTGATGATGCTACTACCACTGCTGATGATGATGATGCTACCACTGCTGATGATGCTACTACCACTGCTGATGATGATGATGCTACCACTGCTGATGATGCTACTACCACTGCTGATGATGATGATGCTACTACCACTGCTGATGATGATGATGCTACTACAACTGCTGATGATGCTACTACCACTGCTGATGATGATGATGCTACTACCACTGCTGATGATGCTACTACCACTGCTGATGATGATGATGCTACCACTGCTGATGATGCTACTACCACTGCTGATGATGATGATGCTACTACCACTGCTGATGATGCTACTACCACTGCTGATGATGATGATGCTACTACCACTGCTGATGATGATGCTACTACCACTGCTGATGATGCTACTACCACTGCTGATGATGATGCTACTACCACTGCTGATGATGCTACTACCACTGCTGATGATGATGCTACTACCACTGCTGATGATGATGCTACTACCACTGCTGATGATGATGCTACTACCACTGCTGATGATGATGCTACTACCACTGATGATGCTACCCTGATGATGCTACTACCACTGCTGATGATGATTCTACTACCACTGCTGATGATGATGCTACTACCACTGCTGATGATGCTACTACCACTGATGATGATGCTACTACCACTGATGATGATGCTAATACCACTGCTCCTGCTGATGATGCTACCACTGCTGATGATGATGCTACTACCACCACTGCTGATGGTGCTACTACCACTGCTGATGATGATGCTACTACCACTGCTGATGATGCTACTACCACTGCTGATGATGCTACTACCACTGCTGATGATGCTACTACCACTGATGATGATGCTACCACTGCTGATGATGATGCTACTACCACCACTGCTGATGGTGCTACTACCACTGCTGATGATAATGCTACTACCACTGCTGATGATGATGCTACTACCACTGCTGATGATGCTACTACCACTGCTGATGATGCTACTACCACTGCTGATGATGATGCTACTACCACTGCTGATGGTGCTACTACCACTGCTGATAATACGACTGCTGGAGCTGTTGCTCTGTGAAAAACGATTCGGAATCGATTACCGGAACCCCCACCTCCCTCTCCCGGCGAATGAAATCGATATCGCTAATGAACCTCCTTGAGGAATCGCCGGATCGATTCGTACAGTATTCATTATAAACCGCCGGGGATCAACCGCGCATCGTCCGTG